CCTTTGCAAAGACCTTGGCGTAATACTTACCATATTTACCACATTTTCGTCTTTTATTTAAAAGGGTAGTTTCCTTCTTTCTTCCCTCTCCTTTCCCTGTTTACACATCCGTTTATTAGTGACATGCATGAGGCTGAAAGCAATTAATGCTTCATCTACAAAATGTATGCGGCATAATGGACTTTGAGGAGTCCTGCCTTCCCAGGTGTGGTATTGCTCCTTAACTTGGGGCAGGTCGGGAGGAGTTAACGTGTAAGTTTGGAGGAGCACAATGGCGAGGGTCTCTTCGACACTGCAGCTCGCTGCACCATTCCCAAAGGTCACTCAGCTGGACCTGGACCTTTGAGGGGTGTAGCACGTTACTTCTCTAAAGTTCCTGCTGCAGCTGCTGGCATTAATATAGCTACTTCCAATTATGGAGTATTATCCACATCTGAAAGGTGTCGTGTTATCCGTGAAGATACATTTGGAGATTCAACGAACCAGTCTTGGGTGCTGAATCAGAGCTAAGTACTTGTCTTTGTGCAAGGCTAAGCTGATTAATGCGATTAAAAAAAAAAAAAAAAAAATCTGGCCACTGGCATCATGGAGAATTTTAAAAGGATTTAGAAAAAGAAAAGAAAAATGATGTGCTACAGTGTGCTCCGTGTTGCCCATCAGTTCATTGCTAACAAAAGAGCATGGGACTGGATTTGAAGGAACAGTGACTATGAACCAGGAAACAGATCACTGTAGGTTCACCGAGACATTTTTGATTGTTCTTGAAATGAGAATTTTTCAAGTTCATTAACATTTTTGAGATACTAATCACCTGCTGGAGGAACTGCTCCAGGAGTGCTCAGTATCCTGCAGTATCATTAATTTTCAAAGTCCTGGTTAAGATTATACAGCACTATGAATTGTCTGCAAATGTTTCCACACTTCTGGCAGAAACAACTAGTGAGCAGATAAATGATTTTTCTAGGGCTGCGTGACCGACCGAAGAGCTACATAGTACCCTTCTACATATGGGTATTTCACAACGAAGACAGATTCACATTTTCACAAATTTACGAAATAACTGACAAAGACTGTTCACTGGGCAGCCCCCTTTTTCCTGCTGGGCAGAAGTGTTGCAGCGTTATCTGTGTTTGCTCAAATCTGTTTGCATCCTTTGCTGGGTTGTAACCCAGCATTCCAGCACTGGAACACAAAGGACCCGACTGAGTTATGCTGAGTATAGCCATGGACGGGCTGGTCAAATGACATTTTTATTAGGTATGCTGTGTGACCTTGTCAGTCTCTGGAAGAAGAACAATGCAGGAATCCCAACACTTTACTTTCCTTTAGCCTCTGCCCTACTCAACTAATCTCTAATGTGTTTCCCATCTCTGGACCAAGGGGAAAAAAAAAAAAAAGAAAGAAAAAAAAGATATAAAGTGAGTAACCAACTCCAAGGCAAGAATTCAAACTGAGCTGTATGACCTTCCCCTTTCAAGAGTGCAAAGACGTAATTTCCAATGAAAATGATCCAGCACCAGACTCGAAAAGGGTCCTGAATGTCACAGATTAATTTGAATTTCCCATGCTACAGGGAAACAGTACTTCTGTTAATACTGGCTGAACACCAAAGTTTAGTGTATATAAGAACTCAACAATTGCACATTGTACGTTGTTTCTTCAACAGAAAAGTCAAAGCATGGAAATCAGTTCTGGCATAAATATTCTTCTATTATTTGATGTATTTCTAAGCAGCTGATGGGTCAATATTGAACAGAACTACCTGTAATTCAGGTTCCCATTGTTTTATTTAACTGCTTGTAGGCAAATAAATGCTATAACAGATTCCAACAATTATCAAACATTTTCTCCCATATTCATGCAGTTTTCTGATACAAATTTGTTTCTGTTGGTTGTCTGTTAGGAAGCGTGAATATGATGAAATTCAGCCGTCCACCTTATATAATTTCGTTTACCGTTAACTATTTGTTAACTTTGGTCCCACAGTCAAGTATATACCTATATCTCACAATACGTATAAAATAAAGTATATAACAGCCGAACAGGAAAAGCTGCCAACAAATCTTTAAGGTGACCTGATTTGCAATTCATGTTTACAAGTATTATGGATTTAGTTCTTAGAGCACAAGCCCTAAGGCTGAAATCCTAAAAGTCCTGGCCGTGGCAGTACAAACTTCACACCCACTGACTTGCAACAACTGTTTTGAGGGCAGGGAGAGGGGCCAGCTTTCAGTCCATGCCTTAGTCCTTGGCCTTTCCACCAGGTTAATCTCAGTTCCGCTTAGGACAGTGTTTTGGGAAGTCCACTGGTTAAGACCATTTCACTCAAGTCATTGAAAAGCCATCCCAAGATAAAAATGTGATTTTACTACTTAAAAGGAAGGGACCAATCCACAGACTTTCACTGCAGTTACTGAAATTCATGGTAATACCCTCATCTGCTTCAGTGAGTGTAAAAGTGAACCAACGCAGAGCACGGATTATCCACTGGGTTATATCACCATCCAGTCCTGCTGCAAAGGATCTCTCATTTGCAGGGGCTATACGCTCACTTACCATTTAATTTAGAGTCAAGTCTATAAATTCACATTTGAAAACATTCCAAACAGCTACATTAATTAAATTAAATTTCCAAATAAAACAATTATATCCATATACATCAAATTAGAGAGCAGGGGAAAAAACTAAACTCTGCAGACAGCTACAACTTGCAATCTTTTTCAATATCAAAAACAATATCGATCTTAAAGCTAAATAAAGTTCCTTACCCATGCTATATTTTGCTTTGGTACATGTCGTTCTTTTCAATATTTCATAAACCTATGGAAGCAAAATAAGAGAAAGGAAAGGGTTACTTCAGATACTGCCAGCAAAAAGCACGATCTTTTTTGTGTACAGCTCAAATATTGGCAAAACCAAGATGTCGATGAAGTCATCACTCTTTATTAAAAGTCATGGTATTCAGGAGAGCAGGGCTTAAAGATTTCCATGCCGAGTTATCTGTACAAGACAGAAAGGCTTAACTAAATAGCCAGCTACCAAGAGGATTGATTGGGGGAAGCAGGGTTACATCTAACTACTCGCAGAACAGAAATGCTGTTTTCGCTGGTGTGTGGACATCGATCAAAGATCAGAACTCCTCTTCTACCCGGACTAGGCGGTTTTGCTAGGCCAGCTCTTCCCTTGCCGCCGATGGCGCAAGCTGGCTTCAGCCCAAGGACCTCAGCAGAGCTTCGGGCTCACAACGTGTACGCGGCCGTTTATCAGAAACTGGACTAACACAGGCTGACCTTAAAGTTTCCGAGCTTGCATGACCTCAGTGACAAAACAGATGTATTTATTTTATGATTTATGGCATTTATTGTCAAATAACCTTTGCACACCTCGGCACGCCGCCCCAGCGGTTAAGCTTTTGGCCGCTCCTGTGCGGCGATGCTCTCAGGCAAGGCAAGCTCTCGGCCGGCACGAGGCTGGCAGGGAAGCGGGCGGCGCAGGAAAACCTCGAGCAAAGGCACCTGCGGCCCGTTGCCTGGCCCATCCGGGGACTCGCGGACCGGTTCCCTGGGGATGCTCGCTAATCCGCATGCCAACTCGGCCGGCGCTTGCCCAATTCACGGAGGGAAGCAAGTGAGGGCATAGGAGGCAAGCCCCGCAGCTCATCTGCCTGATGTTGTTTTGTAACTCCTGTGAGATAAAGGGCTGTCACAGAGAGATTTCCAGTTATATAATGTTGTGGGTTGTTTTTTTTTTTAAATAAGTAAAAGGTCTTTGGCTTAGTTTCTATTCATCAAAGACTTGCAGGGAGTGACTAGATTCCTGTTCATTTTGCAGTAGGCGGAAGGGTCAATATTTGCACTGTGGTTTAAAAATACATATGAGAAAGGCAGGAGACAACTTTAAGAAACAAGAATATAAAGACAAATGCACGCGGGATAAAATGATGCTGGGAAACATTCAATATGTCTTTTACTACCAGGTGATTTACAGGGATGTCAAACAAAGCAACATACAATCAGTGTTATTGTTGTATGTCCAGTGTTCCTTGAGTGCTTTAAAAAAACCCCATCTCTCCTCTTCCTCCCGGCCTCTGCTATGAGCTCCTTTGGTTTCAGTCCATTTTTCAGTTAGTCTTGCTCGCCCTCGTCTCCTATGGTGCCATTTTGTCTTGCAACCTTTCTCAGACAGCTTGTTGTCATGAATTTTAACTCTAAATTTGCTCCCTTAAGTTTCTTATCACTACTTACAAGTTTTTTGACTATATATCTAGACATAGAAAAGAGAGTCTATGAACAAAAGCTACGGGGTTGTTTTGTTGGTTTGTTTTTTTTTTCAACCAAATGAAACTTTTTATTGCAAATAAACCAATTCAATGTTTGTCTTTTTCCTCTCCGTTTCCGTGCTGCTGCATCTGCCTTCCTTGGTCAAACTCACCTAGCCCTGATAACCTGCGCTCACACCAAATCAGCGCACTTCAAACTACAGGGGAACTACATCGGGGGGTCCACACACTGGAATTTCAAAGCAGGAAAGGGAAGTTAGATATCTTACACCCCTTATCACCGTAGCAATAAAAGGCAGCTATAATTGTGATATAAGCTCTTTTTGAAACCACTTAGCATCCAAAAGGCTAATGTTAAATATGAGATAAAAGCACGCTCACAGTCACATTCCAACGCACCGATTAGCAGCAGTGGACTGGGGCAAAGAGTCCACGTTATACTTTGAAAAGTGTTGCAGCAAGCGCTGCTTGGCATGGTCCCTTCAACTGCTCTGGATGTCACACGAGCTGTCCTCTCCATTCCCCCCTCAGAGGCTACAAAGGAGGCTACACCTTCTCCTCCACTCTATTTTACGTTCCGTAAGTCACAAGGAAGTACTCAAATGTAGTTTGTGATATCATATTCCTGCATCAGGCTTTACTTCTCTAAGGGAACCGCAGAAGTTTAATTATGAGAGGAAAAGTCCCATGCTAGCTCTGAAGGAGGAGAGACACCCTCCAACACGAAGGCAGGAATGGCTCAGCCCAGTCCCGGGGCCATGCATGCGTACATCGTACCTGCTAGTATAATAGGGGCGGACAGAAGCATGAACTGTCAGATCAAGATGCAATTTTCTGTCCTTGTTGCATTTGTTTCATGTAAACTTTAACGTTAAATACAAATCATACATAATGTAAAATAAAATTCATAAACCTCAACACTTTTAACACCATTCCAGAGAATTGCCCCAAAAAAACATATAAATATTATTCCCTGTAAATACCTCGCTGTTTCACTGAAATTTGTTTTGGGAGGTTTCACAGCATTTTATAAAAAAAGCAATGTACAGTTACGAAAAGGTAAATGGGACACGGGTGCAGGCACGTGGTGGCAGAACCGGCGGCAGAATCCAAATCTATTCCTTTCTCATGATAGGTCTACTAAGAAACTACGTCCCAGATTAACTGTGAACTAGAAAGAAGATCCAAGTTATTTTCCAAAAGGCAGCAATCTGTTAGCATCAAAGACTATTCAGCGCATAAGCTAAAGCTGGAAATGCTTTCTTTATAATTTCAATAACTGATGTTACAGGCGATCCCTGGCATTTGGTTAAGACAGACGAACTTGCAACAGGCTTTGTACTAGAGCTGGCAAAGGGGCTGTTAACACCATGATTAAGGCACTATCCATCGTAAATTATTTATATATAGTACTTACTATAGTGCTTCTTGTTTTACTGTCAAAGAAGGAATCTCTGTCAGACAAATCAAATCTGTTAAAAGATTAGAAGGAAGCCCATTAGGTTAAAAAAAAGAAAGCCAGTAATTTCCTGCTCTTGTTGACCCCTTCAATAGTTTCGTTTCTCCTGGGGATCTCTCATAGCTCATATTAAAGAATAGCTTGTAGAAACCTCGTTAAAAAGAAAGTCCATCCCAACTCTCATATTTTAAAGAGGATGCTTATACATTTCATTGGTTTTATATATTTATAGGTTTTTCTGCACAAGAGAGACTGTTGATGTTCATTTAAGTTGAATTCCTGACCGCTGCTGGCCTTAAATTTCTCCTAATAATCTTTACATTTTGTCTGTACTTTAAACCCTGTGAAGCCAGTCTTGCCTCCCTTATTCAGCAAAGACACAGGTGGTCTCACCAAAAAAAGCCACCGCTGCAAACAGGCACGTCCACGCCTAAGCTAAGGAGCATCTTTTTGGGCTTTCTCCGAGCCACCAGGCTCCTTTGCTGTAGGAACATCCAACACGCACATAAATGTGTAAACGCATTTCCTGCAAGCCCAAGAACGCGTCAAAGGTCACACGCCTCGACTGGCCCAACTAACGTACACAACTCCATCGGTGTTCTGCATCCCTTGATTAAAAACTGAAAGCCCTGTATGTACGGCGAAGGAATCCTGTCCTAGGACTGTTATTTGTTCCAGCTGGCATGTACATAAACACGGCCTTCAAAGCTTCTCCTCTGGGATGCTGGCCAAGGAAGAGCAGCAGCAAAGCAATCCAGGGCAGTCAAAACCTTGGCTGGGCCCCACCTGGTGATTTTTTCCTACACCCACGTTTACAGCTATTCTACTGATCTGAAATCGATGGCAAAGCTACCACGGACTTCACAGCATTTCCAAAGTCTGGTTGGCAGTACATGCGTGAGCTGCCCGTACCAGATGAATGGAATTATTCTGAAATTTATCAACGCACATCTCTGGCTCCAGATTTTACCGAGCATTTTATGTAACATGGAAAAGAGACTATTGTAAACCACATTGCAAATCTTGTCTGGCAGTCTAACGGTTGATGTGTATTGTTACATAGATACGTATTAGATACCACAACGGCAGCACAGAGATTTCACAGAGGGGCTCTACAAAGCCTCATTCCTCAACAGTGAGGGGAAAACCCCCCAAAACAGTGAATTTACTGCAAAAAGGAAATATTCCTTACAGCAGTCACTAACAAAGTGTTGGCGTTCACTTTCCCTTTCACCTTCTCCTGCCTTAGCTGCTACCAGGAAGGCTGGAGCCTGTTGACATTTACAGAAAGCTTTCACTTACAGGTGCTGCTTCTCTCTGGAGAAGGGGTAGGAGAGGCGCTTCACCGTCTGAGGTTTGTGTTCTGCTACTTTCGGCTGGATGGGCTCTGTTATTTTTTGAATTACGGAGTTAATCTTTTTCAGAAGACCATGGGTCTGATTGATCTGATACATCTGAGTGGGCAAAGAGAAAAAAAACAATAGTAAAACTGTATTGCTTTTAGGTTGTCCATAAGAGAGAGTGACTGTAAGGAACAGATCATCAATTAAATAAATACACGAGAAGAAATTATCGAGGAGTATTACCTTTTTGAAAACATTTAGAAACACATAGGTGGATGGGAAAGTCAAACCAAGGCGAGCAGAGGAAGCCTACTGCTTCTCCTCGGAGCCAACGCCTGGCCCGTGTTTGGTTCCAAATAATCAGGCTGGGGTGTTCAGCGGAGATATACTCAGCACTGGCTCCTGAGACACCCGCTCCTCTAGCATTTACTATTTTCTTGGTGCAATGGGACAAAGAAATGAAGGAGCTACGGAGTCCCTGTGCAAAACAAAAGAAGCGGTCTCCTCTCCCAGGGAGCTTTACTGGGAATATTGTACAGGTTTCAGGAGTTTCCCTTCTTCCAGATAAAGGAACCAAAATATCTTGAACCCTCTATTGCAGTTCTGTAGCACTACCTGCAGGAATTGTGTTAGCAGGTCACAAAAGAGGATTACAGGCTTTCTTCTCTGAGCCACAAATACTATCTGCAGATCCAGGGCTGGTCTCCCACCGCAGGAAGATGCTCGGCTGGAAATAAGGCTTTAGGGGTCTGAGGGTGTTCTCAGACACATTGCTTCTCCTGGGCAATGCCTGCAGGCTGAGCTATCCTCTTTCACACACACACAAAAAAACCCAAAAACAAAATGCCCACCCTAACTTTTCTTTTGTGGCAAAGCAGCTTCAACCATGGGATCACAACAGACTTTTTTTATCTAATTGTGCTTCTGATTAAAATCGGTGGTGAGGCAATAATGGGGATTAATATGAAATCCAAACCAAAAGTGTGGGTTTAGTGTTGTAATAAATGATGCTGGGCTTTGAGACTGTCTCTTGCTCCATTATAGACTTCCCTCTGCAGTCTGGGACATGCACTTAGTATGTGTTTAAATATTAATCCATCTCTAAGCTATGCTCACTGAACAGGTAGCTATCTATCACAGATGATTTAGAATTGATGAAAATATGCTGTCATCTCTTTAATGATATTTCAAATATTCTGAAAGGTGATTTATTTTGTGGTAGAGTAGTTCCAACTCCTGCAAATATGACTAATGATGTATACGAAGAGTCACTAAACCCAGCGAGACTACTGCACGAGTTGTTACTCTTATGTTCATTTTTTAGCAGGCTGGCATTTTGAGTGAGAAAAAATCCTCCAAAACACACACAGAAATTTCACCATCAATTGCAACCTCTTCTTTTAAAACACGCCGAGAGGATGAGGCATTGTATGAAATCACTTGCGTCGGGTACAGATAGCGGTAGCAGCTGGGAATTCTTAATTTCCATTCCTCCTTCCAGTTATTCTTTCTGCTGTCCTAAGCAAACATGTTTGTGGCTCTCATTTGTTGTACAGTTTAGTTAACTATTTTAAAAATGCTTGTGGGAAGAAAAGTCTACATTTGTAAAGTGCTCAGAGCTGAGCATATGTTTAAACTATGCCTTCCAGAGCAGGAAAAAAAAAAAAAAGAAAATCAGGACTCACCTTTTTTGTGGGCATCTTGAGCTTAAGAAATTCTGCCTCTCGACACAATACATTCCACGGTGCGTGTATTTTTACAAATCCAACCCCATGGATTTTAGTCTTAAAAAAAAAAGCAAGAGAAAAGGTTAATAACATGAGGAAATTAAGTATTTTTCCTCTTGTGTTTCATACATATTTAAGGAACAGCCTATTGCTGCCAACACACTAAATCTCAGTTGAGACAGCTAGTTTCCAACAACAGGACAATCACTGAACACCTCTCTGTGCTGAGCTGCTATAAAACGTGACTCAAAAACGCTATTGTCTTCCAGAACAATTACCACAAGGTTAAACAGATAAAAATTGTTTGGGAAATAAAAGCTAATGACTACGGACACAAATACAGACTAAGCCAGTTACATTTGAAGCACAGGCATCCAGCCAAATGGTACGATTTTGTGAGTGCGTCGTAATTAATGGAGCTGAGAGAGTCCTGCTGCCTCCTAAGAGCTGCTCAGTATCTCCAAGGACCAGAACTGCACTAAGAAAGAAGCAGCCTCAGATACAAATGTGAATATCTACATTAAAACACTATGCATTTTAATTAGGAAAACTGCTAGGAAGAATTCAACAAAACAAAAGAAAAAACCCAAAGATAAATGTTAACGATAATACTAGGGGTATGCTTGCATCCCACTGGTTCTCTGAGCTCCGTTCTAGATGGCCGGACACGAGGGTTTGCTCCTGGCCTCCCCCATACACCCGTATTTACTCCCACCATCGGGGTAACATTACACCAATGGAGTAACCATTTCAAAGCCGTTGGACAAATGATATCAAACCAGCAGGCATTCAGCAAACAGAAGAGAAAGAAACTTTAATGAATCTTTCTAATCTTGCTGCTGTATCAACTCGGGCAGTTATTATAATAACTAGCTTTCACTCAGCTATATTCCACACTGGCTTTCTAGAAACCTGTTACTCAGAGGACATAAATAACTGCCAGCCTTCCCACAAGGCATGACTTCCAAACCACCTTTGAGTTTAATTCATTGAAGAGAGTTTAAGTGACTTAGTAAACATCATCTATTTAAGAAACCTTTGCTCTTTTTGCAATTAGCACGGTCTCCAACGCAGCTGCGGGGCACGCTTTTCAAGCCGAAGTGGTTGCAGGTTTTTCCCCTTACGGCGATGTGCTGGATCTGGAAACTGATGTAAAATCCCTGCAGCTTTCTTTCATCTCTATACATTCCTGATCTGGTTTGGTATCTTGCACTGAAAGGACAGGGTTCTCTCTCTTTTACGGTGTCCTGGCTTGAACCCTGAGCCCTTCTCCATCATTTGAAATCATGTTACATGTCATAGGTGGGGACCTCCCATCTAGCAAAGGATTTAAATATCTATGACTTGGCCGAGGCAGGCTTCAGTTCACTACAACAACTTGCAAGTTTGACTGAAAGCAAGTCTTATTTTCACATGGGGGACAGAGAAGAGAAAGGGTTTTTTGGCATTATACCATGCAAAAAATATATTTTTATA